ATATTTGGAATACTAATGGTCATCAAGACACCAACCCTTCCCCTGTGACATCAGCTGGGTGCCTTCAGCTCAACATACCCAATATTTGGAATGCTAGTGGTCATAAAGATACCAACCCTTCCCCTGTGACATCAGCTGGGTGCCTTCAGCTCAACATACCCAATATTTGGAATGCTAGTGGTCATCAAGACACCAACCCTTCCCCTGTGACATCAGCTGGGTGCCTTCAGCTCAACATACCCAATATTTGGAATGCTAGTGGTCATCAAGACACCAACCCTTCCCCCTGTGACATCAGGTGGGTGCCTTCAGCTCAATATACCCAATATTTGGAATGCTAGTGGTCATCAAGACACCAACCCTTCCCCTGTGACATCAGCTGGGTGCCTTCAGCTCACCATACCCAATATTTGGAATGCTAGTGGTCATCAAGACACCAACCCTTCCCCTGTGACATCAGCTGGGTGCCTTCAGCTCAACATACCCAATATTTGAAATACTAGTGGTCATCAAGACACCAACCCTTCCCCTGTGACATCAGCTGGGTGCCTTCAGCTCACCATACCCAATATTTGGAATACTAGTGGTCATCAAGACACCAACCCTTCCCCTGTGACATCAGCTGGGTGCCTTCAGCTCAACACACCCAATATTTGGAATACTAGTGATCATCAAGACACCAACCCTTCCCCTGTGACATCACCTGGGCGCCTTCAGCTCAACACACCCAATATTTGGAATACTAGTGGTCATCAAGACACCAACCCTTTCCCTGTGACATCAGCTGGGCGCCTTCAGCTCAACACACCCAATATTTGGAATACTAGTGGTCATCAGGACACCAACCCTTCCCCTGTGACATCAGCTGGGTGCCTTCAGCTCAACACACCCAATATTTGGAATACTAGTGGTCATCAAGACACCAACCCTTCCCCTGTGACATCAGCTGGGTGCCTTCAGCTCAACACACCCAATATTTGGAATACTAATGGTCATCAAGACACCAACCCTTCCCCTGTGACATCAGCTGGGTGCCTTCAGCTCAACATACCCAATATTTGGAATACTAGTGGTCATCAAGACACCAACCCTTCCCGTGACATCAGCTGGGTGCCTTCAGCTCCACATACCCAATATTTGGAATACTAGTGGTCATCAAGACACCAACCCTTCCCCTGTGACATCAGCTGGGTGCCTTCAGCTCCACATACCCAATATTTGGAATACTAGTGGTCATCAAGACACCAACCCTTCCCTTGTGACATCAGCTGGGTGCCTTCAGCTCAACACACCCAATATTTGGAATACTAGTGGTCATCAAGACACCAACCCTTCCCTTGTGACATCAGCTGGGTGCCTTCAGCTCCACATACCCAATATTTGGAATACTAGTGGTCATCAAGACACCAACCCTTCCCTTGTGACATCAGCTGGGTGCCTTCAGCTCAACATACCCAATATTTGGAATACTAATGGTCATCAAGACACCAACCCTTCCCCTGTGTTATCAGCTGGGTGCCTTCAGCTCAACATACCCAATATTTGGAATACTAGTGGTCATCAAGACACCAACCCTTCCCCTGTGACATCAGCTGGGTGCTTTCAGCTCAACATACCCAATTTCTAGCGTCATCAAGTCACCAACCCTTCCCCTGTGACATCAGCTGGGTGCCTTCAAACATACCAATATTTGGAATACTAGCGGTTCATCAAGTCACCAACCCTTCCCCTGTGACATGGGTGCCTTCACATCCAGCTGGGTGCCTTCAGCTCAGCTGGGTGCAGCTACACCCCAATATTTGGAATACTAGTGGTCATCAAGACACCAACCCTTCCCCTGTGACATCATCAAGCTGGGTGCCTTCAGCTCAACACACCCAATATTTGGAATACTAGTGGTCATCAAGACACCAACCCTTCCCCTGTGACATCATCGGGGTGCCTTCAGCTCAACATACCCAATATTTGGAATACTAGTGGTCATCAAGACACCAACCCTTCCCCTGTGACATCAGCTGGGTGCCTTCAGCTCAACATACCCAATATTTGGAATACTAGTGGTCATCAAGACACCAACCCTTCCCCTGTGACATCAGCTGGGTGCCTTCAGCTCACCATACCCAATATTTGGAATACTAGTGGTCATCAAGACACCAACCCTTCCCCTGTGACATCAGCTGGGTGCCTTCCTGCCCTATCAGCTCAACATTCAGGGTGCTGAAAACACCTACCCATATACAGTATATCATTTTACTAACTGAATTCAATCTAAAAAAATGTAGAGCCCATTTGCACTTTTCCATTATGGTACATTCCATTAACACACCCATATTATGTTGGGGAATGTACGTGTTGCTTAGAGCCAGACGAGTAACGCAATTGGGCTGCCAATGCACGAGAATTGATTAGAGAATGATCATACACCAATATTAGCCTCATAGAGCTTTGGGGTGCCAATGAATGAAAAACAAATGGTACTGCAATGTATCAATATGTATATGGCGCCCTAAAGCTGCATTACTTCAATACCACCCTTGCAGTGAGGCTCCACCCACACTGCAAGACTTAAGTGCTCAGTTTTTTTCAGAGCAAGGGACTCCAAACCTTCACCCATGGGCCAAATTTAGCTTGCTGATCGCTTGCATCTGGCCCACTACTGAGATGAGGTTCCTCCCACCATTCTGTGATCATCCTGTTACTTGGTTGCTAGGACTGCCAGTGTCATAGCAACGGATGACGTGCTTGCCCCAGCAGGAGTGTAGAACGTCCTCCATCAATACCTGCTCCAACTCCTGCCTTGCAGCATGACTACAGCCATGATGTAAGCAAGGTAAGGGCTGTAGTCATGTAAGAGGGGGGGAGACCTAAGACAGACTCTTATGTAAGAGGGGAATCTGTATTAAGGGGGGGGGGGAGGCCCTAATGGGGAACCTGATGTAAGGAGGGACTGTAATGTAAGGGGGAACTCAGGTAGGGAACCTGATGTAAGGGGCACTCTAAAGGGGAAGCTGATGTAAGACAACACTCTGATGGGGACTCTGATTTAAGGGGACACTCTGATAGGGATCCTGATGTAAGGGGGAACTCAGATGGGGACTCTAATGTAAAAGGGCACTCTGATAGGGACTCTGATGTAAGGGGCACTCTGATAAGGGTACTCTGATCTAAAATGTATTTGATAGGGACTCTGATGCAAGGAGGCACGCTGGTGGGGAATCTGATGTAAAGCAACATTCTGATGGGGAAGCTGATGTAAGGGGACATTATGACAGGGACCCAGATGTAAGGAAGCACTCTGATGGAGACTCTGATGTAAGGGGGAACTCTGATGGGGACTCTGATTTAAAGGGACACTCTGATAGGGACCCTGATGTAAGGGGGCATTATGATAGGGACCCTGATGTAAGGGGGCATTATGATAGGGACCTGTTGTAAGGGGGCATTATGATAGGGACCCTGATGAAAGGGGGCATTATGATAGGGACCCTGATGTAAGGGGGCATTATGATAGGGACCTGATGTAAGGGGGCATTATGATAGGGACCCTGATGTAAGGGGGCATTATGATAGGGACCCTGATGTAAGGGGGCATTATGATAGGGACCCTGATGTAAGGAAGCACTCTGATGGAGACTCTGATGTAAGGGAGAACTTTGATAGGAACTCTGATGTAAGGAGGCACTCTGACTGCAAACATGCTGTAAGGAGGAACCGGAGAGCCTGGGAACCACCGTGGGTTCCCCCAAGGAAGGGGGGAGGGGTGAACTTTGAGAGCCACATAAAAGTGATCAGATGGCTCTAATGCTGCCCGGATCACTTTCATCAGAAGCCCTTCCCTGGCTGTTAGGTCAATGTCAGGTTCACAGCAGCAACAGCTGAGACTGTAATTTAACCGCTTGCCTACCATGCCGTTTACAAGGGACAAGTGATTAAAGGAAATAGAAATTCAACCGATTTACTGGCAGGATCAACAGGGTATAAAACCAAAGACCGCTGTGGCACTGCTACTGACAGACTGCACTGGGTCATTTCTGGCATTTTTGTATTTTGCCGGCAGCTCTATTTTAAATGAGCAAAAAAATCTCCATCCCTGATGTACTCAGTTCCATCCATCTGGGGGATTTATTCCCAGTATTTGTACAGCGGACTGGAGAAAGTGAATGTCGCTGTAATAAGCGGTTACATAGAGACACGCAGAGCCTGGCTGCAGCATGGCAGGACTGGCAGAGCCTGTGAGGAATGGATACAAGTCAAAGCCACAGAAGCGTTTAGCAGACGCGCCCAGCCCAGTCACCACACCTATGTAAATAGAGAGGGAGAAGCGCCTTGCAGTGCCAGAGATCACACATAGCGTATGCTGCATCTCCACACAAACAGGATGTGCATCACAGACCGCATTGCCTCGTCTGCTCTCCGGAGGACGCTGGCGCTATCACGTGGCTCTGATCATGCTTAAAGGCGCACGCCGTCTTACGCCAAGCGCAGATCGATGCAACATGCAGAAACAATGCTGGCACCGGACAGAAAACCAGAGTGGGCTCGTGCCTGGCTGTGTGACAACGCCGTGACCACATTCACGTATCAATCGCAGGAATAATCCAGGAGACAGGAAGGAGATGCTATATTTCTTGAATTTAAAAGGTTTCAGTCAAATATATATATATAAATCATTCATGTACTTATGTGTTCAGTAAGGCCTCATTTACACTGGCTTCAAAATGTGGCATTGGACACGCTTTTTTAAGCACGTCAAGTCCAGACACTTTTTTGAATTTTAATGCAAAAAACAAAATACATAACCCAATTTCATTGTAAAATATAAAAGATGGCGTTATGCTGAGTAAATAGATACCAAACATGTCATGCTTCAAAATTGCTTATGCCCATGCAACAATGACATTTTTACTATCAATAGGCGAAGCTTTAAGCAATTCATGTCCGGACAACCTTCCAGTCCGGACACTCAACCTTCCAGTCCGGACACTCAACCTTCCAGTCCTTCCCCCCCTTCCAGTCCGGACACTCACCCCTTCCAGTCCGGACACTTTCCCCCCCTTCCAGTCCGGACACTTTTACCCCCCTTCCAGTCCGGACACTTTCCCCCCCCCTTCCAGTCCGGACACTTTCCCCCCCCCTTCCAGTCCGGACACTTTCCCCCCCTTCCAGTCCGGACACTTTCCCCCCCCTTCCAGTCCGGACACTTTCCCCCCCTTCCAGTCCGGACACTTTTACCCCCTTCCAGTCCGGACACTTTCACCCCCTTCCACTCCGGACACTTTCACCCCCCCTTCCACTCCGGACACTTTCACCCCCTTCCACTCCGGACACTTTCACCCCCCTTCCACTCCGGACACTTTCACCCCCTTCCACTCCGGACACTTTCACCCCCTTCCACTCCGGACACTTCCCCCCCCTTCCACTCCGGACACTTTCCCCCCCTTTCAGTCCGGACACTTTCCCCCCCTTTCAGTCCGGACACTTTCCCCCCCTTCCAGTCCGGACACTTTCACCCCCTTCCACTCCGGACACTTTTACCCCCTTCCACTCCGGACACTTTCCCCCCCTTTCAGTCCGGACACTTTTACCCCCTTCCACTCCGGACACTTTTACCCCCTTCCAGTCCGGACACTTTCACCCACTTCCAGTCCAGACACTTTCCCCCCCTTCCAGTCCGGACACTTTCACCCCCCTTCCAGTCCGGACACTTTCACCCCCTTCCAGTCCAGACCCCCTTCCAGTCCGGACACTTCCCCCCCCCCCCCCCAGTCCGGACACTTTCCCCCCCTTCCAGTCCGGACACTTTCCCCCCCTTCCAGTCCGGACACTTTCACCCCCCTTCCAGTCCAGAGACTTTCACCCCCTTCCTGCCCGGACACTGCCCCCCCCCTTCCAGTCCGGACACTCCCCCCCCCTTCCAGTCCGGACACTTTCCCCCCTTCCTGTCCAGGCCAATTTTCAGCTTTCAGTGCTATCACACTTTGAATGACAATTGCGCGGTCATGCAACACTGTATCCATATGAAGTTTGTATCATTTTTTTAGACAGATAAAGCTTTATTTTGGTGGTATTTATTCTCCGCTGGGATTTTTATTGTTTTGCTATATAAATGAAAAAGTCCAAACATTTTGAAAAAAAAAAAAAGTGTTTTTCTTATAAAATATTGCAAATAAATCATCTTTCATAAATCTTGGCGAAAATGTATTCATCTATCTTTTTAGTAAAAAAAATAACCCAAATTAGTTTATAACCAAAAATTATAATTTTTCTAAATTTTGTTTTACATTTTTATTTTTTTATATTATTTTTTTTAACATCCTGTCACCCTAGCAGTACAGTGTCATCATGGTGACACTGTACTACTTGTGGGGGATGATGAAGATTTTTTTTTTTTTCATTTTTTTACACTGAAAAAGCTTAAAAAAAGCATCACGGAATCATCAAAAACACATCAAAAATAATATTGAAGCGGTAGGCTCTTTAATGTGTGTTAAAGTTGAAGCAAAGAGGAGGACAGAACTCCTCAGTCAGATCCTGCTCTTCTCTGTGCAGCCACAGAGAGGCTTGTCTCTGCCCCCCCCCCCCCCCCCCACCATCTCAGCAGTTGGCAGCAGAAAGGAGGACAGAACTCCTCAGTCAGATCCTGCTCTTCTTTGTGCAGCCACGGAGAGGCTTGTCTCTGCCTCCCCCCCCCACCATCTCAGCAGTCGGCAGCAGAGAAGAGGACAGAACTCCTCAGTCAGATCTTGTTCTTCTCTGTGCAGCCACGGAGAGGCTTGTCTCTGCCTCCCCCCCCCACCATCTCAGCAGTCGGCAGCAGAGAAGAGGACAGAGCTCCTCAGTCAGATCCTGCTCTTCTTTGTGCAGCCACGGAGAGGCTTGTCTCTGCCTCCCCCCCCACCATCTCAGCAGTCGGCAGCAGAGAAGAGGACAGAACTCCTCAGTCAGATCCTGTTCTTCTCTGTGCAGTCACGGAGAGGCTCTCTACCTCCCCCCCCCCCCCCCCATCATCTCAGCAGTCGGCAGCATGGAGGAGGACAGAACGTCTACAGATCCTGTGCCTCTCTGTGCAGCCGTAGCAACCCCAACCCCCTGTCTCCGCCTCCCCAAGTCTCCGCATTCAGCAGACTCTGGCAGTTGACTCCAGCCATCCTCTGGTCCTCCTCCAGACCCTGAACCTTGTTTCTCAGCTCCGCCCCCAGCTTCTTCCTGGCAGCAGCACAAGTTAAGGGGGCTGCACTGTGGTGTAAAGAAGGGTGGGAAAGTCTTGACTTCTAGGGGGTCCTCTTGATATCTGATGTAAGGGAGGGATGAGGAGCTCTGGACATCTAGTCTTACAGATACAACCTGCCTATAATCCTGATTTGGCCAGAAATGACATTGATTTGGCTTCCCTGACCTAGAGGTTCCCTGGTACTTGGCTATCAAAAATTATGCTGGCTTACTGCTAGCACTGAACACACACATATAAAAAGGTTCAAGTCTCAGGTAACATTCTAGGAAACATTCCCTGTGGTAGGCACCGATGGTTGAGCTGGATAATTCTGGCAGTTAATCTAGAGCTCCCACCAAGTATATGGATGGAGTCAGCAGCGTAGGACTCTGAACGTTATATAAACTTGCATGGTTGAAGGATATCGGCCTACATACGGGAGTATGGGGGTGAAGGCACATATCCCTCCTGATGTATGTCTACACGTTGGGAGACTTCAGGCCGTGCTCCGTGGGATCACCGTTCCACATGTCAGATGAGATCCCAGCCAGGAAAACCTCAGTGATCAAGACCAGCACATGGCAGTGCCCGACTTCTGGAGAGGTGCCGCTCTCCGCCCTCACACTGTGGCTTTGCTGCCGGGCTCCTGGCACAGATGGCAGCCCCAATGGTCAAGCCATAACCCACAATAAGGCGTGGGCTCAGCGAGAGAAAGGCTCCGGCCAGGAAAAGGATTACATCAAATATGAATTGCTTCACTCAAAATCCTAAATCATTTTCTCTCTTCATTTTATAATGCCTGTTTGTGCTATAAAAATTCAAGTGCTCCACTAACTGGCCAAAAACATAAAATATGGAATAAAAGGAGAACCGAACCAATGGCAAAGCCCAAATATAGAATATTATTTTTTATATATATATATATATATATATATATTTTTACTTCCATCTGTTGTCCAGAGCCACTCGCTGGTGACATTTTTTGGACACTCTCTCTCTTTTCTATTGCTCTTATCTCACACTTTATCTGTCTCTCTCTTCCGTGCAAATCCGAAAAGCCACTGTTGTCACCTTCTCACCAAGCTGCTTCGCCATAGTTTGGTAGCCCAGTCCAGCCTTGTGTAGGTCTACAATCTTGTCCCTGACATCCTTGGACAGCTCTTTGGTCTTTGCCATGGTGGAGAGTTTGGAATCTGATGGTTTGATGGCTCCTGTGGACAGGTGTCTTTTATACAGGTAACACAATGAGATTAGCATCACTCCCTTTAAGAGACTGCTTCTAATCTCAGCTTGTTACCTGTATGAGAGACACCTGGGAGCCAGAAATCCTGCTGAATGATAGGGGATCAAATCCTTCCCTCATGAACATGCAGATCAGTCATCATTTGTTAGACGCATTTCTGCTGAATTTGTTGTTGTATTCTGTCTCTCAGTGTTACACCGAACATTCCATTGTTAGACCGATCATTTCTGTGTGAGGGGCGAACATTCAGCATCAGCAGGGGAGCAAATACGCATTTCCTTCACTGTAGATAGATAGATAATAGATAGATAGATAGATAGATAGATAGATAGATAATAGATAGATAATAGATATAGATAATAGATAGATAGATAGATAGATAGATAGATAGATAGATAGATATAGATAGATAATAGAGATGATAGATAGATAGATAGATAGATAGATAGATAGATAGATAGATAGATAGATAGATAATAGATAGATAGATAGATAGATAGATAGATAGATAGATAGATAATAGATAATAGATAGATAGATAGATAGATAGATAGATAATAGATAGATAGATAGATAGATAGATAGATAGATAGATAGATAGATAATAGATAGATAGATAATAGATAATAGATAGATAATAATAGATAGATAGATAATAGATAGATAGATAGATAGATAGATAAGATAGATAATAGATAGATAGATAATAGATAATAGATAGATAGATAGATAGATAGATAGATAGATAGATAGATAGATAGATAGATCAATAGATAGTGTGAGGGCCACGGCCAAAATAAAGCTGAAAACCCTGGAGTTCTCAACCAGGCAGGTTGAGGGGCTCCAGAGAGTTGATGGATTGCAGAGGAAACTGGCTTTTCAGTTTCCTCATTTGTTCATTAAGTTTGTTTTGGGATCTGGAGCCTGGAGATTTCAAAGAGATCTGGGAGAGATGAAATCTCCAATCCAGGGTCCGTGTTTTGAGAACCCCCAGCACACTGATTGCACAGGTGTGTGCAGGGCTTTTTGTAGAGGCCTAACCATGGTTCTGGGCTCCACCCCGGCAGATGGAGTCAGGAGGGCTCCACCCCGGCAGACAGGAGGTCTCTGCCTTGGAGTCAGGTGAAAGCCAGACTAGCTGTGTGCTAGTGGCCATAATTTGGGAAGACTCTGCAGGAGACAGAGTTAAAACTGTGTACAAGCCAGGAGGCTGAATCTTTGTAGGTATTTCTTGATGGTGGATACCCCTGCGTGGGAAGCATTTGTGTTATTTGAACTTTCTTTAAATAAAAGTGGGCAAAAAAGCCCTTAAAGAAGCGAGTTGTTGTGTGCTTAAACAAGAAAAGCTCTACCAGTTGAAGCGAGTTCCCACAATAGATAGATAGATAGATAGATAGATAGATAGATAGATAGATAGATAGATAGATAGATAGATAGATAGATAGATAGATAGATAGATAGATAGATAGATAGATAGATAGATAGATAGATAGATAGATAATAGATAGATAGATAATAATAGATAGATAGATAATAGATAGATAGATAGATAAATAATAGATAGATAGATAGATAGATAGATAGATAGATAGATAGATAGATAGATAGATAGATAATAGATAATAGATAGATAATAGATAGATAATAGATAGATAGATAGATAGATAGATAGATAGATAGATAATAGATAGATAGATGATAGATAGATAGATAGATAATAGATAATAGATAATAGATAGATAATAGATAGATAGATAATAGATAGATAGATGATAGATAGATAGATAGATAGATGATAGATAGATAGATAGATAGATAGATAGAT